GTGCATGTGTGTTGCGTGTGTGGCACACACACGCAAGACACACACACCACACACCAGACACGCACACACACACACACATCACACACACACACGAACATCACACACATCACATACACACACCACACACACACACACCACACACACACACACCACACACACACACATGTGGTGCGTGTGTTGCGTGTGTTGTGTGTGTGTATGGTGTGGTGTGTGTGTGTGTGGTGTGTGTGTGTGGTGTGTGTGTGTGGTGTGTGCGTGTGGTGTACGTGTCTGTGTGGGTGTGTTTGTGCTTGGTGTGTGTGGTGTGCTGTGTTTGTGTGTGTTTGTGGTGTGTGTGTGGTGTGTGTGTGTGTGGTGTGTGTGTGTGGTGTCTGTGTGTGTGTGTCGTGTGTGTGTGTTGTGTGTGTGTGTGGTGTGTGTGTGGTGTGTGTGTGTGTGTGCGCGTCTGGTGTGGTGTGTGTGTGGTGTATGTACTGTGTGTGTAGTGTGTGTGTGTGTGTGTGGTGTGTCGCGTGTGGTGCGTGTGTTGCGTGTGTGGTGTGTGTGTGTGTGTGTGGTGTGTGTGTGGTGTGTGTGTGTGGTGTGCGTGTGTGGTGTGTGTGTGTGTGTGCGTGGTGTGGTGTGTGTGGTGAGTGTGTATGTGTGTTGTGCGGTGTGTGTATGGTGTGTGTGTGTGGTCTGTGTGTGTGTGTGTGTTTGTGTCGTGCGTGTGTGTGGTCTGTGTGTGTGTGTGTTTGTGTCGTGCGTGTGTGTGGGGTGTGTGTGTGTGTGCGTGTCTGGAGTGTGGTGCGTGTGTGCGTTGTGCGTTTGTGTGTCTAGCGTGTGTGTGTGGTGTATGTGTGTGTGTCTGGCGTTTGTGATGTGTGTGTGCGTGTGTATGTGCGTGTCTGGTGTGTGGTGTGTGTGTGTGCGGTGTGTGTGCGGTGTGTGTGTGTGTGTGTGTGTCTGTGTCTGTGTCTGTGTCTGTGTCTGTGTCTGTGTCTGTGTCTGTGTCTGTGTCTGTGTCTGTGTCTGTGTCTGTGTCGTGTGTATGTGTGTCGTGTGTGTGTGTGTGGTGTGTGTGTGTGTGCGTGTCTGGTGTGTGGTGTGTGTGTGTGTGTGTGGTGTGTGTGTGTGCGGTGTGTGTGTGGTGTGTGTATACGATATATATTTATATATATATATATATTTATATATATATATATGTATGTATGCGCGTGTGCGTGTGCGTGTGCGTGTGCGTGTGGGTGTGTTTGTCTCTGTGTGTTTGTGTCTGTGTGTGTGTGTGTGTCTCTGAGTGTGTGTGTGTGTGTGTGTCTCTGTGTGTCTGTGTTTCCGTGCGTCTGTGTGCTTGTTTCTGTGCGTCTGCGTCTGTGTCTGTCTTTGCCTGTGTCTGTGTGTGTGTGTGTCTGTGTGTCTGTGTTTGTCCGTTTGTTTTTGGAGTTGGTACACAAGGAAAAGAACAAAAACAACAACCACCGGTTTGGGGGTCCCCGACAAAAGACACCCAAAACTCAAGATTGCCTTTGAACAACCCCATCTGAACCTTCTTAGTTGGAAGGGGTTCAAAACAGAGTCCTTAGAACCTTTCTTGGTGTGGGGGCCCACTGGCCCTCCTGGCGCCGGCAAGCGATACACAATTTGGTGGATCTCAGGTTCGGAAATTATGTCCAACCTAAAAAATAATCCCCCCACTAAAAGGAACGGGATCCTATTGGAAGAAAGGAATCCCACCCTTCAAAGGAAAGCCCCTCATTAATATCAAGCAAGCGGTTTCTTCATCAGGGCCTTAAGGCAACTTCCCATGCGGGCGCGTTCCACAACCCCCCCCCCAAGTGGGCGGTGTCCTCTTGGTTTCCCTTGAGCGGCCTTAACAAAAACGGGCACCAACTCCAAGATGCCCCTGGTTTCGCTTGAAAAAACAAAAGCCAATCGGCGCCAATCCCATGGACTGTGTCCTGTTAGCTTCCCTTTGCAAACCAACATGTGGGTTCTCATCGGGCTTTGTCAGTCTTGGGTTCTCCCCCGTTCCAACTGTAAAACCCGCAGCAATTGGTGGGTTCTGCCCGTGTTTCCTTGAAAACACAGGGAGAACCCACCATTTGTTGTGGGTTTTGCAGTTCGAAACGCGGGAGAGAACCCACCAATTGCTGCGGGTTTCCTTGAAAACCCGCGGGAATTGGTGGGTTCTCCCCCGTGTTTCCTTGAAAACCCGCAGCAATTGGCGGGCTTTCCCCGATTCCAACTGAAAAGCCTAGCCCAAACAGAGAAGACACCTGCCTGGACCAGCTTCTCCAGGGAGAGGCGCTCCCATGCCAAAGCCTTGATGGTCCGGATGGAGATCATCGTCTCCTCAGCAAGGAGAAAAACCCACGTCTCGAGACGAGACCGGCGACCTTTGGGGCGAGTAAAATCTCCAGAAACCAACGCAAAGCGCAAGTTATGGGGTAGTGTTGACCCCGGACTTGGATGCAAAGTGTTGTTTGGAAATTGCGAACGCCCCTTTTGAACCGAACATTGCAAGTATGTGTGCTTAGGGATTAGCATAAGATCCCTGAAGCCAGGTAAAACCACCTAACTAAACTGGCCCTTTTGGGAATCGGCTTTGGGCGCTGTGGTACTTGGCTGTTCCACCTGCTTAGCAAGTGGGTCACAATCACTGCAAGCCAGCTAAGCCAAGCAATCCCCGTTGAACCCAAAATAGAAGCTGAACTGTCTTCGCTGTTAGTCAACCAAAGCAGCACAGGACAGGAGGACAACTCCGGATCAAAAAAACAAAACAGCCAGGGGATCAAGCAAGAAACAGACATTAGGATCCAACAAGGGAGCCCTTGAGTTTTCAGTATTCGCGGACGTCTTTTGGACAGCGGCATACCCTATCAGTCCATGTTGGCCTGCCAAAACTTGCCTGGGCTCGCTCATTTCGTGGAGGGATGAATGGTAGTGGGAAGCCATTTGAAGCTCATGGAAGTGCTTTGCATCTGCTCCCGTGGCAAATTCTGGATCCCGCATCTCCATTGTCATCCCGGATGCTCAGCATCCCGCTTGCCGACAAGCCGCAGTCAGCCACTTCATTCGCGTGTCGAGGCATGCCTGATACTTCCTGCAGGGCTACGCGGCTACGCGGCAACGGCCCCGTTGGCCATGCCAACCCCTGGCATGAAAGACGCCCACCAACTTTCGGCTGGCCCAAATGCATCCTGAAAGGGGACTCTGGCCTTGACAACGGCAAGCCACTTGGTTAGTCCTGTAGAAGTACATGCCCCCAGCCGTAGAGCACACCAGGAGCAGCATCACCGGGAGGGTGTATGTGGCGCCGACCTTTGCATCGAGTTAAACAAATCACGAGAGGAAACCTCACGCGCAGCACTGTTGCGTGGTACTGCCTGCTGCGTTTAGCTTGCTTTTTGTGGCTACGCTTCGCCGAACAACTGTGAGGAGGACGCGCTGGCATGCTCTGAAAACACATGAAGGAATGCATCGTGATCTGGGTGTGGCTATCGGCATTGCTGGCCGACAATTCCAAGCAAATTCCTATCCACTCAACACTTCCCTCCCACTAACGGTGCGCCTGTGGATGACATGTTTCAACCGCTTCAGAGGACCTTCCCCTGTCAGCAACATCCTCCAGCTAATAATCATGGAAGCTGACAGTCTGGCTTTACGACATTCCTCCGCGGAAATCCTGTTGGCCATTTCTTGTTAGCATACCTCCGAAACAAGGTATGGGATACATCCAGGCCTGCATGCTACCCCGGACTTGTTGGATCCTTTTAATTTGGGATGTGTTTTGTTTTATTTTGGGTTTTTTTGTTTTCCGTCCTGGCTACTAAAATGCTGCAATTTACAGCATTTTCTTGCGAAATGTACGTATTTTACGCTAGTCCGTCAACATCATCAGCATCGTTTTCAACATCCCCCCGTCCAGCCAACATCCCCAGCATCACCAGCAAATTGAGGGCCTTGGCTTCCTGCATCTTCAGTTCCTCTGCCATAGTAAAAGTGAGGATTCAAATACGGGCAAACTAATCCTGAACCGTAGCGGGGGGGTTTGGGGGGGCGGCAGGCCCCCCCATGATGATTGAAAAAGTGATGATTCAATTAGGGGTGCATTTTAATCTCTGCCAAAAATCCAAACAGTCGCGCGGGGGTTGGGGGGGGGGGGCAGCCCTCATGGTGATCAAAAAGTGATTAAAAAGGCAGCGGGGGGGTTGGGGGGGCAGCCCCCATGAAGATTGAAAAGGAGATGATTCATTTAAAGGCGTGGGGAGGTTGGGGGGGGGGGGCGGCAGCCCCCCCCCATGATGATTGGAAAAGTGATGATTCAATTACGGCCAAAAAGAATATAAAAAAGCAGCGGGGGGGTTGGGCCGCCCCCCCCCCATGATGATCGAACAATTAGGGGCAAAGAATCTAAAAAGTAGCTGTCGCATGATGATCGAAAAAGTGATGATTCAATTAGGCGTGTATTTTAATCGAAAGGGGGGTGGCGGGGGGCACCAGAGAGGCCAAAAACCAACTGGGAAAGCAGAGGATGCGAAAAGCCAAAGAAAAGCCACAAAGCCAAAAAGCCACCTGCCGCAGCGCAACTGGCAATGCAGAGGATGTGAAAAGAGAGGAACTGTGAATGCAGAGGATGCGAAATGACAAGCCACAAAAGCCACAAAAACCCACGTAAAAGCCACAAAAGCCAAAAAGCCACCCACAATGGAAAACAAAAAAACTAAACAACAAAAACAACCCCCCAAAAAAAAACATAAACAACAATTGCCCTCCATTAGACATCCCACACGCAGAACTTGTTGTGGCACCTAGTCCCTTCCTGAAACTGATCGACTGATCGAATGGGTGCTATGTTTGTAGGAGGCTAGGGTTGTGGGAGCTACAGGAACGAACCACTTCAACCCCTGTCAAGCGTCGGTCGCGCTGTAGTCGATCTGGTGGATCATCAGCGTCAGCAGGCAGGCGATGGAGACCGGTGCGGCAATCACTGCAAGAATATCCTCATTTTGCCACACACA